TTTATGAATTTATTATCCTATAAACTTGTGATTCTAGAAAATTATGACATGTTTTGCTTGTTGTTGAGGATTTAGTAAATTATTAATCATTTGAACATAAATAAAAAGTTGTAAAATTCTTATAAATATTAAATATTGTTATTTTCACTTCAAACGCCTAGACACTATCTAAATGTATTAGGCACTAGGTAGAATCTCAATGTCCTCCTCATACATCTTCTTGAATCGTGAGAGGATATGAAATTGCTTCCAACTCATCTCCATTGATTGCTAGTTGTCGAATTGTTATTTGAATATAACATATTTATGATATGTAGCCTATAGTTTTGCAAATTGTTTGAAATGCATAATTTCATATAACATCAAAGTGCCATCAAAATTATATTTTAGTTTTTGAAATTTTGATAATCTTTCATCAATGAACGAACACTCTATTCTCAATGTTTATCACACTCATGAATAACTATTCATGACCCGTTTGTTTAATGATCCAACTAGTTAGTTGACTATACTTGAATAGAAAATTGACATAACAAAAAAAATAAAGAGTTTGCATGAAAAAGTGTAGCATAAATAGGAAACACATAGCCATAAGTTCTACTGTTCTAGCCAATAATTTGTTCCATTGTAGGGGGAACAATACATATATTAATATATATAAACTTGAAGTTTGGTTACTGTTGCCAAACAAATTATAAATTAGTCACTATTTAACAAATTACAAATTAGTCACTATAATGTACATTTTGCATTTTGATACCCAAAATTTAATTTTAATGTAAACCGATTGAACAATTATTGTTTGGTACCTATTTTATAAGATTTTTGTAATTACAATTTTTTAAATTTACATATTGGTCAAATATTTAGATTTCACTTGAATACATGAATCCACCAGTCCTTTTGAACCAATCCATGAATCCAATCCACCATAACATAAAAATATAAATTTAGTTTGTATCATACAATATGTTGTATTACTAAACTGTAGGAGAAGATTCGACCATTTTATATTTGCTCATTACGTGAAACATTAAATAAATGATAAAAGCGACACGACTCTAAAATATCGCAAGAGAAAATTTATAAATTCATTTAGTACATTTACGGGATACTAAACAAACATCTACTAACTACATGTAACAGAATATGCGACATCTACATAAGCAAGTGTCAATAAATTGCTACGATGAAAAGGATTGATTGTTGTATTGACGACTAACTAAAAGAATTGGTCAAAACCTTCTATCATCTACTTTCTTTTCGTTTCATTTTTCACTTGCCTTCCATAACCCTTTCTTTATTTATTTTTTGTTATCTTCGTCTAATCCTAATTAGTATACAATTTTATGTATTCTAATCACAAATATGAACGGGTCCATACACGACCAACCAACAATCTAGATAATTAATAATTGAACCAGGAACCACTAATTTTTTCAGCTCAATGTCGAGTCTAATTAAAAATAAATATATATGATTATTACTTATAAGAAAGTCGTCATTTTCCATTATGGGGTTTGAAGGCGTGAAATTTCAAGCGAGTTCTAGTTTGTATTCCTTTTGCTTCTCTCTAGAGTTTTTTTCCAGTCTGGCTAGAATTTTCAACAATTATACATGTAATTTTCAACAATTATACATATCAAATAAATAGTTTCCTATTTTTTTATAAAAACGTAAATAATTATCATCTTAAATACATCACCATAAAAGGAGTTAAGCCTCAACTATGCAAATTACAGTTGGATACCTAAACTTAACAAATCTTTAGATTTATAACCTAAAATTATATTTTTGGCATATAAGTCCTCAAAATATTGACGGAGCATTGCATTTTAGTATCTAAAATTTTTGTGTAATAATTTTAGTACCTAAACTTTTGAAGTTTTACAAATAGGTATAATTTTTGTATGTGTAATTAAAACACCATCGAATAAATGGATATCAATATCCAACTCATACACATTTAAATTATGAAAGTAAATATCCATATGCTACCCAAAGCCATCTACAAACTTCCAACCCCATAATATACGTCACCCATACCTACCTATAATCAATGGGTCTACTAGAGTTTAGGTAAATATAATTTATTAGCCAAAATTTTCAAGATTTTTTAAATTGGATGTTGACCGTCATATATCTCTTCTCAGTCAATATTACTACCAAAAGGGCTAATAATACTAACAAAATACCTTAACGGGTCACATAATACATGCTCGTAGGCCATCTCCGCCCCGCGACAAGGCGCGACATCGCCACCTAGTATCAATATATAAACCTTAAAGTATTCTAAACAATGCAACAATAAAATTAATAAGAAAATAACATTTCTCATCCATACTACATGTCATAAAAAACATATATCAGCCAACATATTCAAAATTTAGTTGAAGGCCAATATTATTTCTTGAGCAAACAAAATTAACCTTTTTTTGTGGTACCCACCCTGCTAATGTGTCTATGAAAACTCCATTCTAACTGCTTGATTTGCCATATAGTTTTCAGAAATAATCTACAAATTTGGTTTTCATAAATTGTGTTCTTTCAAACTCACATTTAGATTCAATCATGTTGGATTATCAAGAGATCTAAACTTTAGTAGTTGACGGAACTAAAACTTTCAAAGAGATAATCTACAAATTTGGTTTTCATAAATTGTGTTCTTTCAAACTCACATTTGGATCCAATCATGTTGGATTATCAAGAGATCTAAACTTTAGTAGTTGACGAAACTAAAACTTTCACAGAATTGGTCACTTATAGTTTGAACAAAAATATCATTAATTTTTGTTAGTTCTAAAAATACATATATATTATATAAAGATTCTACATCGCTTCTACGCATTCAATTTTATAATTTAATATGTAATATTCGAACAAAGATATTTGAGTTGCGAATTTTTATATAGTATATTTGGCGATTGAGCTCATGCATAAAATTAGGGGTGGCTATACGGTCCGGTCCGGTTAAATTGGCCCAAATTGATCCGGTCCATTCCGGTTTTTTTGAAAATATAAGGACTGAAGATTGGATTGGATACAGTCCGGTCTTGATCCGGTCCGGTCCCAATTCGGTCTTGATTTTATATTGAGATTGTGGGAATTTTAGTGGCCTAAGGCCTAAAAGGGTGAGGAGTTGGTTAAGTTTTGTACTAAGTGCAACGGTTTGTGACCGTTTATGCAAATTACCCTTAAGTTTTGGGTGTTGAGCTCTCTTATCGGGTCTTTATCCGGTTTTTTATCTCAAATCTAAGCCCAACGATTGGATTGGATTGTTTACTATCCGGTCCCGGTCCGAATTATACGGTCCGGTTTTTTATTTTTCATCCGGTCCCGGTCCAAATAGTCAGCCCTACATAAAATTGATATCAACTCATCTTCTATTGATTATATGGCCCATGCTTTCTTTTCTTTATGGGTTAATTGCATGGTTGGTCACTGAGATTACAAAAAACGTTCATGTTTGGTCACTGGAAATATTTAAATCCAATCCCAGTCACTCAAATTAGTTAAATGGTTCAAGTTTGGTCACTCTCCGTTACCTTCCGTCAGTTTCTGTTAACACCGTCAGTTATTTGCTGACGTGGCTAACAGAAGTGCTGATTCACCAAATTTAAATTATAAAAAAATAAAACCCAACCCGTACAGTCAGCGAAACCAGCCACATTAGTTACCCACCCCCAACCCGTGACCCAACCCTTCCTTCTTCCTTTATTTGACCCAAGCAAAACAAAAACCCTACAAAGTTCAATGAGAAATCGCCGCCGCCAGCCGCTGAATCACTATGTACAGTTTTTCCCTTCAAGAATAATCTCAAGCACAAACCCATTTCCAAGCTCGCACTCACCGCCGCTAGCTCCTCCTCAGAGTCCAACATCGTCGCCCTCGCCGCCGCTAGCTATTCCGGTTTCCACCGGCGACTCCACTGTTGCTAGGCGGCCCAAGGACGGGGAAGATGGATAGGATTGAGGCGGCGACACCATTGACGAAGGAAGGATTGGAGGCAGCGACCGTACCTCAACCTCCAACCGCAGTCGGTCGAGATCTAGGTCCAGCAGCAGACTTACCCAGTTGACGTTGGATAAGAAAGGGGATCGTCGTCCGTTACCTCCCTCTTCCCCAAATCGTCGTTGCTGCCTTGTTCTTGCTTTTCTTGTTACCATCGTCAGAGCTAGGGTTTTGTGAATCCTTCCGTAACTGATCGATGTCGTCGTTGTCGCCGTCTCGGTTGGCAGTGACACAAGCGATTGGCCGTGGACTGTGTAGCGGGAAGTGATATTTGGAAAAGGGAGTTGGAGGAGGAGGTGGAAGTGAGAGAATTGATGATGGTGGAGGATAAGAGGGGAAGTGGTGGTAGCGACGGCGTGGAGTTTTTGTTAAAGGAAGAGGAATAGGAGAGGGAGGAGAAGAGGGAAATCTTGGGTTAATCTTAGTTTTTGGATTTTGCAGATTGGTTAATCTTGTCTTGGGTTTTAATTTGGGGTAGGTTCGATCATGATTTAACGGGTTGGGTCACATTGGTTAGGTTGTTATGATGTGGCAGGTTTTTTATGATGTGGCAGGATTGGATTTTATTTTATTTTGTCAAAAATAGGTGACTAGGTGAGTCTGTTAGCCACGTCAGCAAATAACTGACGATGTTAACAGAAACTGACGGAAGGTAACGGAGAGTGACCAAACTTGAACCATTTAACTAATATGAGTGACCGGGATTGGATTTAAATATTTTCAGTGACCAAACATGAACGTTTTTTGTAATCTCAGTGACCAACCATGCAATTAACCCTTTTCTTTATACTTCCACTCTACATGCATGTGCAACTGTAACTCCATTTTTTTTTTTTTACCAAAATCAAATGTCATACTGTTATAGCAGATTGAGTATCCATAACCATAAGACCGTAAACCCACGGAGAGAGAAAGGAAGAACCAATTAAAACTGAAAAAAGTAAACGAAAATTAACCCCACTCCCAGTCACAGTGCCAACTCCCACCCACCGAGACACAAAAAAGATGGTCAAGCTTTGCACAAAGGAAAGCGTCTCCCTTTCACTGCAATGATTCACAGACTTTTACGAATAATATGGGGAATCACAACACCAAAATCCAAAAAAGAGAAAGCTCGGAAAAAAGAAACAAAAATAAAAACTCCTAGTAATTAATTTACGAACGGGCTCTATCATTCTCCAAACTTTTCCTTTTTGATATATGCACACATTGAAGTTGAACACCCTCCTCAATCAATATCATCAGGAGCTTCCTCCTCCTGTAAATTGGGAAATTCACACTAAATACTGCTACAACAACAACAACAACAACTCCTACTGATGCTGCAGCGACTGCATCTGATAAACCAATCCACCGTACGCCCCAAGTTGCATCATCATCAAATCCTTCTGCTCTTGCACCACCCTGCTTCCTCCGTACGTTGACATCCCACACAAATTCACCACATTATTATTACTGTTAATGTTATTGAACCCAGTCGCTAGCGGATCCGCAACACTCCCCTCTGTTACTTCGCCGTTGTTGTTGTTGTTGCTGCCTCGCGAATTCCAGTCCAGAATGAACCCTTTCCCCGCTGCCCCCGCCGGTGGTGATTGGGCGGTGGTTGTCGAATGGTCCGGCGACGACGGCGACAGAGTCGTAGCAGATGATGACTTGATGATGTTGTTGTTGGTGTCGTGAGGGTGAGGGAGATTGACGGTGGTGATATCATGTATGCTAGATCGCCTCTTGTCTTTCCCTCCCGTGCTCTGCCGAATGAAATATTTCTGGGCATGACTCGCCACTTGCGTCGGCGTCCGAGTCGTCACGAAGTTCCTCGATATGTTCCTCCAATCTCCCTTCCCGTACCTCTGCAGCCCCAGCAGAAATTGCCTAAAACCCACACAGTCAAAATCAGTTGCAGCATCTCGTTTTCACTACACCCAGCAGTTGTAATCTCAAACCATTATTATTATTAAATTAAAATTAACTACGCCAAAGGAAATTTCACCTGTGCTCTTCCTCCGTCCAGGGGACGCCTTTCTTCCTTTCGTGGTCGGAAGGGCGACCGCCGCCCCTCTTGGTGGCGCCGGGGCAGTAGAAGTGCTTGAGATCGTCGTAGCTCTGACTATTCACCCAGTCCAGAGTGAAGGCGTCCACCGCAGCTTCGTACCCCGGGACGGGGATGAGCCCTGCCTCGATGTCGCTGACGTCTTCTTCCAGTTCTCTGTACTGTTTGATGACGTCGCCGACGGTCTTCCCCGGGATCATGGCGGCGACTTTGGCCCACCGATCGGGGGTGTCTTTGTCGTAGAGGGCCAGAGCGTTCTCGAACCGCTTGTTCTCTTCCGCCGTCCATCGAGTCACTTTGCTCTCCTGGAACAGCCAGCTCGAGTTGTGGAGGTAGGAAGAGGGAGACAGGATTTCGATTCCCCTGCTGCTCATGGATTGGCCTTTATTTCTTGAGAGAAAGGGAGTGGGTGAATTGAATTCCCAAAGAGCAGCCGTTGCAAAAACCCCAGATGGGAAAATGCTGAGGAAGAAGGTAGTGGGTGGGAGGGGAAGGCAAGGGAAGGGAATTTTTATGACCAAAGAGCATCAAATTGACAAGGGAAGCAAGCCTTCTTTTCTTTTTTTCGTATTTGGCTGAATGGAATCCTCCTCTCAGCTCAGTGGCCTTTCCTTTCTTTCTCTCTTGTTCTCACATCAGCACTAAGTTGAGGAATCTGGAAAAGTCTCCAGCTTTCCAAAATCCAAGGGCGGAGAGAGAAAAGAAACTGAAGAGAACCCAATCAACTAACAGCCTCTCCCACAGCCACAGCCACAGCCACAGCCACAGCCAGAGTAGAAAGGAAACACAGAGCACCAAAGAAAAAAGCAGATCTCGTGAATAGTTATCACATAGAATAGGCATAAACCCTAGTCCACATCTCGGATCCGAACCACCAAAAGGAAGCAATTGGAGACCCAAAAAGAAAACCCAACATCGGATTTTCAAACGGTGGCCACGGAATTTCGCCCCCCCAAAGCTTTTCTTGCTTTTGCCTCTACCACTCAGCTCAAGGACCAAAAGATACCCCCGCTTAGACCCATTGCAAAAGGAGAAAAGAAAACCACCCAACTGAGAACAGAACAGAGGAATACTGTTCCAAAAACCAAACAGAAACGAAAATTGATTTATACTTTGCTACTAATAGCAGCAACTGAAACTGAAACAGGGCCGAAAAGGCACAAACAGGGAAGAAAAGCAGAGCCGAGAGACCGTGTGAAGGAGAAAGGGGGGAAATGAAATGGGGCAAAACAATATGCGCCAGCTCCTATTTCTTTGCTACTTGGCGACACAGAGGGGGTGAGAGAGTGAGAAAAGGGAAAGGATTGACAGGGAAAGAAAGCGAGAGAGAGAAAGAGAGATCTATGGAGCTCCTCGTAAGAATGAGGAGCAGAAAGCGAAGGAGGGAGGAGAGAGAAAGCGATAAAAGGAGGTCAATGCTGTTGAGTTGTGATTGGTGGGATTAGTTTGTTTTTTGTGAGCGCTCGCCTGCTACTGCCGCTGGCCAATGGGAACCTTATAACAATTCATAAACCATTCAAAGCCGTTGGATATTCATCTCCAGGATCGATCTAAGGGTCCAGTCATAAGGGAAAAGGAAAACTATAGATTATTTATATTTATATGGGAGAAAACAATAGATCGTTAATTACCACAAGTCCACAGCTTTTTTCACTCTCGATGATTAATTAGACGTCGTGCAATCAAACCTCCAATTGCGAGTATCCGATCGTTCTCGACCCGGTTAATGAAAGAAATTTCTATATTTATTAGATTTGGAATAGATATATTGTACAATTTTTGATAGAAATGGGATGGATATGATTTTAGCTTCTCTACATACTTATGTTCACAGACGTCCCACCCAGAAAATTTCTTCATATATAAAAAGTACAGAGATCAAATTGTAACCTTTGTGAATGAAAAAAAAAAAGTAGGGTTGGTAAACGGTTATCATCTTAATGGGGTAACCAAAAATCGAATCGGGACCGGTGGTTAACGATTACACCGATAATCAATTAAATATTAAACGATCAGTTCTCGGTAGCCACATTTTGCTAATTACTAACAGATGGTTAAACGGTTAGTAATTAATAGTTAAACGGTTAATCGACTAACCAATTACGACTATCCTTGTAGTTAGGGTCGAAAATAATATGTCTCTATGAGATGTAGGGATAGGCCTAAAATAATGAGATATTTGATGCCTACACTATCCTTTTACTATCCTAGTTGTAATATTGACTTACATTCAAATGAAAATAATTTCAAGGACAAACTTTAGAAAGAGCATAGTAGAAAATTGAACTTGCACACAGTAGCTCGACAACAATTAGTAACATTTGAGCTAGCATGTAATTTGGTGGGTTTATGAGTTGAGTAATTGTTGTTGGATCTCTTATTCTTGTGTGCTTCTTTAATCAAATTTGATGGTAGAATGATGTAATTGTGTACATGTGTTGGATGGAGCTTATTATGGATCGATATTCATGTTAAATTATTTTTATTCAATGATACCAACTTAAAAAAAAGGAACACTACGTATGTAGGGAAAAATCTACAAAAATGCACAATGGAAAAATAGAGTAGGCATTTTGTGGTTAGGTTATCGATCAATTATTTTGGTATAATCTTGTTGGATCACTTGTTTAATGGTTATCTGGTTAACTAGTAAAATAACTGAAAACTGATTAAATGGTTACGGTTAACTGAATAATATAAACAGTGGGATTAACAATGAGCACAAAGTGCTTAACGGTTAAGCGAGAATCGACTAAATGGTTCCGGTAATAACCGAACCGATTGTCAGCCGTAAAAAAAGGTAAATATCATAAATTGGCGCAAACTTTACATAAATAGACTACTTTGACCTATGGGTTCTGAAATACCCAGTTTTAATCTAAACTATGCACCATCTAGACTATTTTGACCGAATCCGTGGGTTGACCATCAAATTGGACGGCAGTAACCATTGACTAATGGTTAACGAACCAGGTAATTGTCACGTCAGCCTAAAAATTTAAAAATTCAAATTCAAATTATTTTTCCTAATTTCTATTATTTGATTATTTCATATTTGAACCCGGCAACCACACAACCCTACACCTTTCACTGACACCCTTTCTTTTTCCAGATACTCCTTTCAATCGAAATTCAACGAGCGTCGGTGATCTCTTCACCATCCCACAGATCATGCCAAATCCATAGTTCACCTCACTCTACTCTTCTTTTTGCATCCACCATCGTCCACTGCCAGGTAAAAATTTCCTAGATCCCCCTTTCAATCGAAATGCAACAACCAATTGTTTGTCTTCTTCTTGTCTTCACCAGGGTTCTTTGTCGGAGTCTCCCCTTCGAATTCAAATCTATCGCCTTCTCCACAAACTAAACAACGCCGAAAGAACCCTTAAACTACCACTGATCTCAACAACTTTTTATGATATGTTGTCCATATTTGACACGCTATTACACAACACCAAACTACGACCAAGTATAATCTCAGTCCGGAAATGCAGAATAGTGACAAGTTCAATTTATCAACCCGTGGTCTAGATCTACTGCCTATTCCGTGATTATCTATTATCTAGCAGGACTAAGTTTAGTGAGAGTGATTGTAAACAAAAGCAGGAAATTGACAAACTCTCGTACAAAGCAGTACAACCTATTTAAATTCTATTTATCACAGGTTGAAGCAGAAATCAAGAGAAGTTGATCAGGATTCAATTGACTCAATAAACACACCTTAATCGATTATAATCAAACAGTATATTAATCCAAAAGTCATTATAACTCAAATCCCTAACACATGGAACTAGGGTTCTTCATACCCAAGTGAGAAAGAGTTCTACTCCATAGAGGGAGAGAAGAAAACAGAATACAAAGCAGTCATACTCATAATGATGGGAAGAATCTGCTTTGGGATGATAATCTTCACTCGCGGGATGAAATCCAAGCTTGATTGATGAAACCCAGCTCCAAAATCAACTCTAGGGTTTGTTCTTCGCACTTTCTCTCTCTAGGACTCTGTTTTTGCTCTCGAAATTCGATTCTCCCTCTCCAAAACCAGAAATTGGGTTTTTATGCAGCTGGCTGCGATTGCACGGCCAGAGTGCACGACCGTGCAATCCCATAGTCTGCCCGTGCACCCCAAAACGCATCGTTTCATTTAATTCCACCAGGGGTGCACGGCCATTGCATGGCCCGTGCAATCCGAGAGCCTGGCCGTGCAATGCTCTCGCAGAAATCAGCACGACCACAATTTCATCGTGCACAACCGTGCGAAAAATAGGGTCAGGTCGTGCAGCTTCTCGCTAAATCCTGCATGGCCACAAGGAAACCATGCACGGTCATGAGCTTTCCCGTCCTGGCCATGCAACTTGTCTGATCTCCCTTCGCTCGTCCCGATTTTGCCCAATCGATCCCAAACTTGTGCTCAAACCTTCATTCACGCATTAAGACCTGAAATGTCATAAACAAGAACAACCTATCGTAAAATTGGCTTAACCCAAGATCCGAGCCTCAAACAATATAAGAATGGTGGACAAAAACATGTGCAAATATCGAGTCATCAAATTCCCCCACACTTAACTGTTTGTTTGTCCCCAAGCAAACCTGACTCAAACCAATGCAGCTCTCCATACCTTTACAGCAACAAGCAACCCTGATCGTCGGCAGAGGATTTCCTAGATCATTTAGCAACTTACGAGGTCAATTGGTCTTCTAAGACGTCCCCTATCTCTCTCAATGCGAATACTAGACTCAAGCCAGGATCATGAGAAGTAGTGGAACTAAGACAGTAAGTTCATGGATAAGGAGACTCTCACAAATTAACAACCAATGACTCTTTGTATCGGGTGCTCTTCCATTTCATCTCACTTGTTGGAACCCATTTCCTTTATTATTTGTTTATTTTTCTTTTGTTTTCTTTTGTTGGGGTTCCAACTGCAGTTTTTATGCGCGGTTTGCCCTTATTAGGTGAGCAAAAGCAATTTCTATACATCTGTCGCTCGCCAGAGTACTTCTTTCAAATCATATTCCTCACTTCGTGTGGAGGGTCAATGAAATTAAGGGGGGTCGGAAGCTCTATCCGTGCCCTTAAAAACACATCCTCGAGTAGGGAAATCGTTCAACGAGTGGAAATTTTACTTGTACTATAGACAACTTAGCTTCACCTTGTCGGCCTACCCCACCAAGGATCACTAAAATCTCTTCCAAAACCCGATTTTGTGCAATGAACGGTGCCACACACGTTGGGCTTACCCCATGTTTTAGAAATTTCAAATTTTTGACATGGAGGACCAACTGCTTTTTTTTCATTTCACACTTGAGCAGCCTTTTCCGATACACGAGTCCACAACACAACATAAGGAGAGTCATCAATACCATATGAATCAACGATCATAAATCCACTACTTCACAAAATCAACCGGCACAGCAAAGAGACAGATAGGAAAAATCTTATACTTCAACATCCTCCATAGTCAATTACCTCCTTAGGTTGCATATTACCATAAAGACTGTCAATTCAAAGCATACTGAGCAGGGTATTGCAGGGAACAGTACTTGGAGCCCTCAATTCATCAAATTTGACAGTGGAGTAGGCTCTAAGCACACAAACTCATCTATGCAGTCAAAGATAAACACCCCCCACACTTAAGCACGAAATTGCCCTCAATGGAGAAGAGGGAAAGATAAGGGGAACGATGTTACCGGAAAAACGGACTGTCGGGGGACTGGCGACTGGAAGGCAGACCAGTCAAGAGCAGGGGACTGGAGGGGGTCAGTCCATAGATCTAGAGTCATCAAAACACACTAGGTGATAGAAACCATAGTTCCAAGTGGAAAAACCAAAAAGAAAGAAAAGAAAAACAAACCGTGGTGGGGTCGTCTCCCCACAAGCGCTTCTTTTACGTCTTTAGCGGGATGCAGAGAGTAGATGCTCAGAGCGGTGTAGGAACATGTGTCTTCAAGAGCGGATCCACATCGCTCTTGAGGTACATATTCAAATGGTGGCAATGCACACGACGAGCGTGACCACCATCACTTGTCAACTCGACCTAGCCATCCGGCAGGATGCAAGTGAGTGAATACTCGGATGGCCAGGGCGGTCGTGGCTCAGGAGGCGAGACCAACTCATAGTGGTCTCCAACCTCCTTGGGAGCAGGATTAGCTACCTGCAGCTTCGACCTCCACTCCTCCTTGATCTTCTCTTTTGGTAATGAGACGAACGGGAGTGGCGGCGAAGGAATGAGAGGAGAATCCTGTAAAACGGAAGGCATAGAAGGATACACGACAAAGTCGTGCACCTGGTGAGAGACAGCATG